TTCATAAAATCTTATGAGAGATTCAGGTACCTGAATATATGAATGAAGAGATCTCTATGTTATATCTTTATGAAAATATATTGGAACCGATATAAAATGTTTATCGACGACATCTGTCATAGACTAAGTATAGATGAGGATCTTAAGTCTATCGAATATAGACACAAAAATATTGGCCAAATGGAAGAGATACAATTCGAATAGAATTGGTTTCATATAAAAGACATATAGTTTTGTCTATGTTGTTCAAATACTTGAAAGTATAAAGTCAATGGTATGTGCAATCAGTTTTCGATATCTTATATGTCTAGCCTGACATGAAAACTTGATATACATCTAAAGTCTCTTTAGATGGCTTATACGACTTAACTTATATGACAATCCATGAAGGATTTAAGTTGCTTAAAGCATATACAATTCTTGATCATTAAGTACCACTTTCTCAATGCAATTTGTGCACATTTATATCTTGCTATAACGATAAGCATGATAATATGATCGCGAGGATTTTCAAGGTGCAATATATTCATTGGAGTTAATATGGCTGATTTATTCACCAAAACTTTGTCGATGTCAACCTTCAAGAAGCTAATGCACAAGATTGGAATGTGAAGGCTCAATGATGTTAATTGATGCTTTCATCAGGGGGAGTTAATACGCGTTGCACTCTTTTTTCCTTACAAGGTTTTGTCCCACTAGGTTTTCCTAGCAAGGTTTTTAACGAGGCAACCAAAAGGCGTATTGTTAGATATGTGTACTCTTTTTCCTTCTCTAGAATTTTTTTCCCATTGGGTTTTATTTAGTTAAGGTTTTAACGAGGCACATTATCTGTTGAATAGACATTCAAGGGGGAGTGTTATAAATAGAATTCTATTTAAGGTGAATGTCTATATTCTAGAGAGATTCTAGGGTTTATTACTTGGTGGCTAAGTCACTTTCTCCCTATAAATAGAGGGTTCTATTCCATTGTAAATCATCTCAAAAATTAATAAGAATTCTCTCTTCCTACTTTTCTCTGCAATACTTTTATTCTTCTTTTATTATTTTATAACAGAGTTGATATTTTATTTTCGAATCTTTGTATTTGCATAATTATTAGTGTTACTGATTTTGCCAGCCATTTCTCTCTCTCTCTCAGAAAAGTAGTTCAAGTATAAAATGAAAATGTATCGTAGTTTTATATATTATTTACAAGTATAACATGGAAGTAATTGTAGTTATGATATCTTATTTAAATAAAAAAAGAATTTATACTATTTTAAGTAATTAAACTCTTAATTGACTTCAAATTATTAAATTAAGACTTTTTATATAATTTAAATAATAAAAAATAGATAATTTTAGAGATACCCTTTCAGATTTGACATTGTAACACTAATCTCCCCTATGATTTTACAATATTGCATCTATATTTTTTATTCTAATTTTTTTATAACAATATTCTTAAACTATTAAATAGATAATTTTAGAGATACCCTTTCAGATTTGACATTGTAACACTAATCTCCCCTATGATTTTTCAATATTGCATCTATATTTTTTATTCTAATTTTTTTATAAAAATATTCTTAAACTATTTATCATAACAATTAAAAATTTATAGATTGACTAAAGCTCTTAATTTTCTTTTCNATTTCTGACCGAACTACGCCGGTTTGATTCTCACCGGATGTGAGATACGTAGGCAACCCCCATCGGGTTCAACCCCACCTTTTGCTAAAAATAGCCGAAAAAAAAAAAAAAAAATAATAATAATAATAATAATAATAAGAAATAGTAGCAAACAAAAAAAAAATGAAAATAAGTTGAGATTAAACAGGGAAATCTTTTTGTTCCTGTACTTCTTTCCTTTTCTTTATTTTTCTATTCTGAAAATTACAATGAATGGTTATAATTATGTTTACTTGTCCAAATAAGGAAAGAGTTTATATAGAGTAAAGTTCTAATCAATTTAATTTTGGACTTTCTATATATTCATATAAGGAAAATATTTAATATTTACAATTTTAGTTGATTTAAAGCTCCTAAAAATCAGGGGAAAATTTAAATTACACTTTCGTCTAGTATGAAATCTATTTTTAAAGGAAAAAAAGACGAACAACATTTCGCTGAGGGCCTTCGTGTTTTTAATATTATTTTTTTTGTATGTGTGTGTATAAATAAATTATTGGCTATTATTTTTTAAAGCGTCTAAAAATATTTTTTTCCTATTTTAGTTAGGTTATTATTTATTAGAATGAAAATAAAAAATAAACAAACGTGAAATAAGAAAATGCTACTGGCAAAATTATATTTTTCGGGCTTTATTATTTTTGTATGAGTTAGTGAAAGTTTTATAATTTTTGTGTGAGAAAATAAAGTTATATAACTTTGGTGGAAAAAAATCATAATTAATTGTATGACCATTTGTGAAATTTACACCTGCATCCTTTCATCGAAAAAGGTCAATTCAATGTGTGGAGATATCAGGACTAGTCAGTCGGCGATGCTATGAGTTATTTCCACGGCGGTTGAGGTTTTTCCCGTTATAGAAGAATTAATTTAAATATATGTCAACTCAATCGCTTAAATAAAAAATAGTTGACGAAAATATGTATAAACCATGAATAACATATGTATAATCGTTTGTAATCAGTGTATTATTTATGTATACCAATTAAAAAAGTAAACAGTAAATCCAACCAGCTATTTAGGTAAGTACTTCCTATACCATTGCTCATTAAAAGTCATAAATGATGTTCTTATTCAAATGTGTGTTTCTTTGTGCATCTAAGGGTGTGGCTGATGAAGCTGGATTAATGATTACTATGTGAGATTAGAATATAAATCTTAGCAGATCCAGAAAAGTTTAAGTAACTCCTTTTTATCTACCTAAGACTTGGTGCACAGGATTATTTTTGGTGAAATAATTGCCGTGAACACAAGCTGATTCGAACACTTATATTATCAAAATAAAAACGAAAAAGGGCTAAAAATACCCTTGTAGTATCACAAATGGTTTAGTATAGAGCTCCGTCCACCTATTTGTCCGAAAATACACTCAACGTTATCTTCGGACCTGATATTATCCCGTGACTAGCGGAGCCATCTGTGATCCCCCATTTAATGGGTTGTCACGATTTCATTGCACCACGTGGCCATATGGCCCCAATCACTTACAACTCGTCCCAAATATCCACCCGCCCCATTTTTCGGATCAACCCATTTTACTGTTTTCATCACAGAAATGATATCAGTTTACTTAGTAAACTTTTTGATGCCAAGAAAACCTTTAAGTTGCTGGAGGGCAATTGTAATGGCCGCACCACCCATGAAAGTTGAAACCAACAACAGCAGCATGAGATAGGAAGTCGATTAAAAATCCCAATCTGAAAAGGAAGCAAAGTAGTAGTTAAAGCTAGGTGTCCGTTGGCAAGTCAGAACGGAAAAGAAAACAATAAGTTCTTGCATCGAATGAGATGAAGAAAATCAAAACTACAAGTGTACAACCACAAGCTCTTACGCTTGGCAATTCTTGTATACCTTAAGATTCCAAGAGTAGCTTGGATAATGCCAGCGAAAAAAGTAGCTGTAAATGCAAGTCTCCTGTATTCATTTGGATTTGTAGTTGGATCAATTTCATTGCTAAGCAGAAACCCCAGCAATAGTGATACAACAGCAACAGGTCCTATCGCTATATCTCTCGAGCTACCCATGAAGGCGTAAATCAAAGGTGGAACAAAGCTGGATTTGGTGAAGAAGACGGGGTAATTGAAGAAATATAGGTGAAATATGTTTGTTTTACTATGGGTCGGCCCGAAAAATGGGGCAGGTGGATATTTGGGGCGGGTTGTAAGTGATTGGGCCATATAGCCACGTGACACAATGAAATCGTGACAATGCATTAAATGGGGACCACAGATGACTCCGTTAGTTGCGGGGGTAATATTAGGTCCGAAGATAATGTTAAATATATTTTCCAATAAATAGGTCGACGAAGCTCGATACTAAACCATTTGTGATACAACAAAGGTATTTTTAGCCCTTTTCCGAAATAAAAATAAAAAATGTATGCTTTTATTGTGGAAATGCATTTACATTTGGAAAGAACATATCCACAAGGGGTGAATAAGAGATTGTCACGTTTACACGCAATAACTTCTCTATTCTTGTTGGAGGCCCACAGAAAAGCTGAGGATTGGTAAGGAGAAAGAAATTCCCCTTTTGCTCAACAATATTCTCTTGCCACTTGAGACAGATATGGATTTTTCTTTATTATTTGTTCATTCATAAGGAAATCATTAACGAAGTCTTAATAGAAGGAAACATCATCAGTTTCAACTTATGTTGCTGCTCTTATATCTGGAACAAGAGCCAGGCTATTTGGACTATTTTCTCAATCCATCTTCCTTTTATTGCCATCTTTTATGCCAGCACAGTTTTAATTTGAGATGACTTGACCAAACTAGCAATCGAAAGTTGGAATTATAGATCATTGTAAAAAAGTATTTTAGGATAATTAAAGATGAAGAAGTAAGATAGAAACATGCATGCACCGCAAGTTTAATCCTATAAAAAGGATGAATGAAAAAGCAAGATTTAACACAAAGCAAAGGCATGTCCTGTAGAATGGTGACCAATAATATTTTATGAATTAGGTTTAAAAAATCCGTATGATGAATGTGGCAAATGGCAATAATGTAAATGTTAAGATGGATGTGATTGATAAAAGATGTGATAATATTGAAGATGGTCATATATGACGAAGGGTATATTGTAAACATAGAGAATAACAAAGGGTCAGTTGAGATAGTTCGGCTATGTTCTACATCGACCTAAAATCGTGGTCTTATGACCCAGAATAGATGCGGATCCATAAAGACAGTACCAACTTATATGTACATGCAATAATTCCATTAGTAGGAGCGGATCCAATAGTTTAGCTATGAGTTTAATTTTACTCGTAACTTTTATCCTAGACCATGGTTTTTTGTATAAAATTCATTAAAATTGCTGAAAATTTTGAGATATGAACCTATAACTCAAACACGGTGATGCATTCATTGGTTGACATCGAAATCTTGAATTCATAGAATTAAAATCTTAGATCCGCTTATGATAATTAGTGCAAGATTTGGATAATCTTAATTTTGGAGAAACCTTAATTCATCTAAAAGACAACTTATCTAATATTGGAACGAAATATGTTTGAATAAGCGGAATGAGTACAATGGATTCATATAGCCAATTCCAACTAGATTCATATAACCAACTCCAATTAATTTGGATTGGTTGATATATGACAGAGAGATGATCAGTGGACGCCAAGCAATAAAGGAAGAATGGTAGAGTGCAAGATGCAGGCAAGCCTTTAATAGATAAAGGGAAAAAAGAGGGAGATTCTTCATTGCTGTGACACTAATCATAAGCTTGTTCTCAAGAGAAGCAAAGCATATTATCCAACATAGATGAAGAAAAGTTATGGTCCATCATCTACTCAAGATAGTAGAAGATGGAAATACACATAGCTGACAGTACAAACATGACTACATGAAACGCGGTGCAGGTGGAATTATGAATGCAGAAAAACTCATGGCCTCGTTTGAATCATGGCGATTCTTCTCGTGCACTTTTCTTATATAATCGGATGCCCTCCCATCTACACTGTTCTTCTCATGAATTACATGATGCATGGATTTATCACTCTTGACTGGCTCAATCAAGTAGGCAATCGGCTTCTTGATGTTTACTGGTTCCTGTGACCTTAAGCTCTCAGGAAATTGTGCTGTTGTTGAGCCTTTGACGAATGTTGCAGGTCCTGTTACAGGCGTTTTCACGGCTTCTGGTTGCACGGAAATTCCAAGGCTCATCCTGGCAATGGATAATGATGATAGCCTGATCACATTTGTTACCATCTTTATTGACTTCTCACAGAGGGACTTGTTGTTTCTGCTTTTGTTGTTCATGGCAAATAATGGTACAGATTCTAACTGCCAGATGCTTTCAAGAACAGATAGATAATGTGATTGCTTAACAAGCCAAAACCTATGGATATATATACAAGTATAAAGGTAAAGAAACTTGCTACCAAAGCATTGTAGCCTCAGCTGAATTCTCATTTGTGTTATAAAAATATGACTGGAATCTCCCTTCAAGTTTCACCAATCCTAGCTAAGAGTAGCTTTATTAGTGGCTAGATCCTTCTCTTCTATGCAATTAATTAAGATATTTTCTCTAATTTTTTAGTTGTCCAAATGGAACTCAGAAGAATAAGGGAATCTATGCTGCTCACCAGTGTATAAGCAAATATATTAAAATTTGGATGAGAGGGTACTTCTCAAAGCAATTCCAACTAAAGTGGAATTCTGCTCAATTTGGAAAATTTAAGAAATAATATAGCTACCCACGTGATTAACGAGCCAACAACCTCTGGTGATTATGAGCACAACTAAATTATCCATTTAAAAGTAAGTGGAATAAGATGCCTTTCTACTTTTCATATACCATATGAAGTTATAACTTGTTCAAGTTCACATTAAGTAGTCACCAGTGCTCCTCAACTGATTCCAACCTTTTATTAAACTTTTTTCAAAATATCCAGATAAGGACTATGCACTGAAAACCAGCTTATTCACACATCACAAGTGCGCCTCTTAGAAGTTTCCAGAAGCCAGCTTATTCAGGAGAGCATGCAGACCGAACTTATACATATAGCACACTTCTACTTCACATGGTTATGATATTCCTTATCTACCAGAGTTCCTTTTCAGCAACCATATTATTCTCATTCCTTTCCTGGAGCAACGGGCAGCCCGGTGATATGGCTCGAACCCGTGACCTATAGGTCACACGGAAACAACTTAACCATTGCTCCAAGGCTCCCCTTCATTCCTTTCCCAGAGTGATGCCGTTAAAAGTCTCACTGATTGGAGACAACTTAATACTATTAACAAAAAATAACTGTCACATCCAAAGCAATTAACAGTTAATTGCCAAGATAAACACCATAACCTTTCGAGCTTAGTGTATCTATAAACATCTCCAGTTAATTTACTGCTATGGCAGATTTGTTATGAAGCGAGATATACTGATATGCTTATACATGCATGTGTACAGTTCTTCAGTTGAATAAACTTTTCAAGTACAACCTCAGGTTCTAGGGTAAGTAATTGACATGGAACTAAAAAATCTGGGAAACTAACGTCCAATTAAAAGGATGATTTGTTTATTTAGTTTTGTTAAAGTTTACTATTAACCCGAAGAAAGAGAGAACAGGCATTAAAATGCTTGAGGTGCTTGGTCAAATACAAGAGAGATGTATAACGTTTCTTGAGCCATAAATCAGTAGGAAAAAACAGACACCTTTATAGTGAAATAGGGAGCAGAATCAGCAACCAGCTAGGTGCAGAGAGAAAGTATCAGATATTAGGCAGAAGAAATAAAAGAATAAGCCATCGTTCAGAATTCCACATGAATTACAGACACTTTCAAGATTATAAGAGTGGCACTCTTCTATTCATATTCATATATACATGACTAGAGTTATGTCCTAACATAGTTCAAAAGAGCACTACTTTACTCATCACAAGATTGACTAATAGTTGGGAATACACCTTCTTCTACATTTCTCAATCAATACTGAATAAGATTGTGCAACCATGTCAACGGATCAAGTAGATCCTCCCACAGACATATCTCCGGTAAAAGGAAATAAAAAACCACAAATCAAACTCATCCCCTAAAGGGTATACACTTGTACACTTCACTAGTGCACCAACACTACTCTTAGTTTGCTCCTATATTCAGTTGTGAAAAAAATGTGCAAAATTCACTAGCATTATGCCGCAAGGCCTTGTATATCCTCTCTTTTCATATATCCAGCATACATAATTTGTACTGATTCATACAGTAGTCATTTAGAGTTCTTGTATACTGAACAACTTTGATAAATTTTCATAACAATTTGAAATTGAAATGTAGGAACTCATCACATAAGTGAGAACTAATGAGCCATACAGTCTGGAATATTAGCAGCTAAAGTTCCACGTTCACTGAATATCCTCTATCCTTTTTTGATCAGACTCACAATTACCATCCTCCATCCCATGATCCTACAATGGTACAACATGATTGTGGTGGAAAAGCTTGTCTGCAAACACATTCTTACACTCTCTTGCAGTAAACATTTTTTCAAGAAAAATACAATTTCCTGAGAGCAGAATCGAATAGGCTTGAGAGGAAACATATAAGGGCATTTAAACACAAGAGCTACGCGATCAAGGACAAATGTTTTATTTCTTACATCTTGTCCCTAAGAAGAATGAGCTTACAATAGTAAACAAAAGAGTTAGAAGAGTTTGCTTTTATCAAGACACAATCTAATCCATATATTTCTCATGATCCTCTCTGTAACAAAGAATGAGTTTACACTAGCAAACAAAAGGAGTTCAAAATTTTGTCGGTATACAATCTTAGTCAACTAGAGGAGAGCCAAGTATTTGGTGCTACATAAGTGTAACCTTGAAAGTGTTCGCCTGCTGTCGGAGTATTTGCAGGTGAGTCGTCCGGTGGCATGGTAGTCCAACATTTGTCAAAATTGGCAGTGCAAGCTCTGCCAATTACATCAGGTTTGAACTTAGGCTGTAGTTCTCTCGCATCTAATTTCTTCCAATTGATTGATCGGAACCACTTGTGACTTTTGATCTCATCCCCTCCTCTTGGTCCACTGCCTAACCTTTTTGATGGGTCCTTTTGCAACAACTAAAGGAAAAAATTGGAAGTTGTCATTCAGTTGAATTACAAGCATTTTTCTAAGAAAGTCTGGGCAAGCAGTCAATTGAAAGTCTGTACATACTCCTTTGAGCAGAGAGTGAGCTTCACCGGTCAGACGTGGTAGAAGTTTCACTTTCTCGCTGATGATCTTTTCCTGAAGCTTCTTTCTATTTGAATGTGTGAATGGTGGCTGAAAGAAATGAGAGTCAAAAGTGTTCCAAAAGACCCAACATAAGAAATAAGCTCCATAGAATGTCCAATGAACTGTCTATGCTTTTTGCATTGTTACAAAACTGCATGATTCTAGTGTTCTAACGTTACACTAATACTTAGATTACCTGACCAGTCAGCATCTCATACAGAAGTATCCCAACGCTCCACCAGTCAGCATCTTTATTGTGGCCCTTTGACTGTAAAATCTCTGGAGCCATGTATTCCGTGGTTCCACACATCGAATTTGATCTGCTTGATTCGTCAATCTCTTTTGCCAGTCCAAAATCTGTCAGCATGACCTGGGTGGAAAATGAG